GGCTCATTCTGGTGTCTCACAGAGTGGACCATGCTTGGGATCACTTGCCCAAGTCCTAGCAGCGAGGCTGGCCTCTCAGAAGGCCTCAGCACAAAAGTAAGATAGGACTTCACAGTTTCAATTTTTTTAGGTTTACAATTCTCTTCGTGTTGGCAGTTCACGATGTAACAACGCTGCTCAAACATCCAGGACAAGTCACAACCAGAGAGGTCACAACACGCTGCGATGCAGTCGGACACTGACATGGCGTGAGGAACTCGCATAATTTTAGTGGTTTCTAAGTTGGGAGATATTACTGCACCTGAGTACGTGGCTCCTTCTCTGCACTGCTCACAACTGGAACCTGAAACAACACCACCAACGTAAGGCACAGCACTACAACCAAGCCACAATATGGTTTACTGTGACCATAAATGGCTTATCACAGAAAACAAGATAAAGACAGGTGGTATCCTGGTTAAAAAAGCTCGTTTTCTTTCACTAACATCACTGCTCCCTTTTTTTTCATCATATCCCTTTGCAGTAGTATTTGTACTTAGGAGGATTTTTCAGCACAGAATCTTGAAATGTTTTGCAAATGTACATTTTGGTCCTGTGCTACAAATACAAATATATAGAGATAAAAACAAGTTGTGAATACATAAAACCAAAAACAAAGCAGGGAACACACACACACACACACACACACACAAATTATTAAAAAATCATGGTGTACCTTCAGTACCCCTACAGCACAGTAAGCAAAACACGTTTTAAACCAAAACTTCAATAAGATGCTGTAGCATGTCATTGTTTCATTTGAGGTAGAAGGTAGCAAAAATCTACACAGGAGAAAGATTTGCCATCTCATCTAAACTCCATGAAGAGTTCCTCACTCCAGCAAAATCGCTGGGCTTCATATAAAAGCTGGATCAAATTCTCAAACTTTTGCTGCTTTACCCAATAGCTCATGTGAAATCCCAACAGCTTGCTTCAGTATGGAGCATCTTTCCTTCATTTGTAGCGAAGCTGAAATCTTTTAGTATGACACCAATTTCATAGCACATCACAGACTGAGTGTGAAGTGTTCAAAATATCCTGTATATCTCAGTCAATTTTTAATATCTTGTCTAGGTGGATTTTTTTTCCCTGGTTATAACTGCTCTTCAGAATCCCTCTCTCCAAAATGCAACTTGAAAAATCTGATCATGCTTCAAGAAACAGCTGAGTAAAACCAGGATATTCTTCTGTTTTTCAACTAGACTTGCTAACTCAACAAATTAAAACAAACATGTTACCTTTGTGGAGTTAACAAAATAATGGAAGACAAAGCTGACTCTGTCTGCTTTGCATTTCTGTTAATGTCATTAAAAATTGAGTTCTGGAAGCAGAAACCTCATGATTCACAATAGTATAGGGCAGGAGAAAAAGGCAACTTGACTAATGAGCTGAGGGGAAGGAAAATGAAATCAAGGAGTAGGAGTAGGGTGGCCATAGGGGTTAGATCTGACCATGAACCTTGGAGATGCAGGGATTCTCCTACACATGTGCCGTGTCCAGCACCGTACTGCAGTTCTGACTGCATCTTCTGGGCTGAACTGCAGCACAGTCCTTCATAAGTCATTGATACAGCTTACTGAAGTACCTGTGGGGGCATCATGCTGCCTGGGATGAATGTAAGCTTGGAAAGTAGGTTAAGTGCAGTGAAAAGAACAAACAAACAAAAAAACCAAAACAAACAAAATATTGCATTGCATACTGAGGGACAGAGTGGACAAAATGTTACGATGGTTTGCAGAGCTGGCTGTGGAGGGTGAGGAAAAACATGAAACCAAAAGAATAATGACTCGCAAATAGATACAGTTGAATAGGAAGATGACAAAAAGGATAAAGAGCTTCAAGTACCATTTTTCTGACTCCAGCTGCTCCTTCACACAGAACTGGGATGCTGTCTCCTCTTCCACTTTACAATTTCAGTGAAAAAATGTATCCAGGGCAACACACACTTGAAACCTATCCTGCTCTAACAGCCTAGACATGCAGAATCTTTACATGTATCCAGGAAATGCTCAAGATTTGTGCAGTTTTTTCCTTCATGCTGCATATAAACTTTTTCTCTACCTTCCCTTTTACCTCCAAGAACGTAAGACCCTGGCAGAGAATGTGAATTGCCATCACGAGTCTTTCCTTTAAGTTGTCTGCACATCTTACTACAGGGGAGCCAGAGGAGCTCTGGATTAAAATGAAGTTTAGGAGTCCTTTTGCAACCATATCCATTAATCCTATAAGACAGTGGAGAGATGAGAAACAGGCCTTTAAAAGGGTAAAACAGGAACGTAACTCTGTGCAAATGTGCAACATTTGGTCAGTAACAATTAATACTTTAGGAACAGGACTATTGATGTGGGCCAGAAAAACTCCTTTGGGGACTGTTTTCATCCCCTCCCCTTTTCTATTTCATCCCTGAAGGAGAGAGTGACCAACCTGTTCAAAGAAATTTGAGAGTTCATTATTTATTTGTTCAGAAAAGAATGATCAGCAGTTCTTAGCTCAGCTTATGCATAGGCTTAGCTAAGGCTTATGCAACTGGGATGGATACTCCACAGCTCTAACCTCAGCACACACTTCAAGTCCGCAGTGAGGTTCAAATCCCTCTGCCACTTTCAGTTTGATGCATTAGTTACCAAACTGCAGAGCCAACCTCCCTCAAAATTAATGGTGCTTCATTAGCCATTGTGAGAAACAAGTCCAGTACATTCCTAAAATAATTAAAGATTTGGAACCTGAAGCTCACAAGCAAGCAACCTAACCACAGGCCTTAGCTACCTGCTTTTTCAAATGTCAGAAGGTCTTGGTTTCATCCCAATAAATAATGGAAGAAAACATTAAACTTCTGAATTTCTGTACAGTGGGAAAATTATTTCCCTGACAACTCTAAATTAAATCTAACAGTGCAATCCAAATCGCAAAGTAATGAAAGTTTCATCTCTTGCTTCAGCTAGACTTACATTGTAGCAGTAGGTACACAAGACAGGATGAATTTAACAGGCTATTTCAACCTCACACTAGGTGTGTGTACATTAGTTGTCTTCACATGGAAAATACACGTAAGTGAACTAAATCTAATCTCCAATTTCATATTTCCTCTCATCCCATCCAATCTCCAGTCTGCAATAGGCTCGAGCAGAGGTAGTGAAGTCTCTTTTTACATAAAAAAAAAAAAGTGTGCCACATGAAAGGTCACATAGTAAAGTTTGTGTCTGCTACACTACTACCTGCTGTAAGAGGTCATAGAACAGCTATTTTCCTTGTTAACTGAACTCAGAAATTAAAACACTGTTCTACTTGACCAGTAAGAGAAAAAAAACCTAGCATCATGAAATACTGTTTGTTTCTGAAGTACTCATTCAAGTTACCAGTAGAAAGACTGCTTTCCTTTATTACAAGCCCAGAAAACTCTCTGGAGCATGAGCCAAAAGCCTGTGAAGTTCTGAAAGTGTTCTCCTTCCTTTTAGCTGTACCCTATTATGCCTACAGTAGGACACCACTGACATATCCAAAAACCTAGTCAGGCAAGTCACCCTCAAAAAGCCACTCTTAAAATACCCACCCCCCCCCTAAAATCGTGTTCAACAGCCACACTGTGGAATATAGTTTCATTTTACAGAGATTTCTTCCTTTACTGAGGGAATGTCCACACCCTTCTTTGAGCTCCTTCACATCTTGGTGCATAAGTCCATTGATGTCAGAAGCCCAACAGGAACACAGCTGTTCCTCCGTCACAACTGGCTGGGGACCTTTCCTCAAGTGGACATGGAAACTAACTGCAAAACCTAACAGATGATCTCCCCCCATGCTCACACAACCGTGAGCACGTGAATGATTTGGCAGCAAATGTTCTTTAGTCAGTAAGTTGCAAATTGTGACACTATGCTAACACGCCAGGTTCATCACAGCTAATCGCCCCAGTATGAAACCCTGCAAGGACAGAACTGCTCTACTTGTTTTCAGTCTAACAAGAAGAAAGAGGGGACAAGAGGGAATGTGCAATAGAGAAGAGCTCAGATTCAGACCTTGCACCAAGAAAAGAGACATTTGATCAGAATCACATCACACTGCCTTCCTTCTGGCAGCACAGCAATGAGAGCCCACATAGCATGCTATTCCCACAGCCTGAAAGCCTCTGACCTGAGCATGGATGATCCTACAGCAGTTTGCTACAGGAAGAGTAGGACTATCCCTACTTTCTTGACATGTGCTCCCTCCCCTCTCTCTTAGCACCAACCTAGCTGTTTTTAGGGTTAATGATTTTTTTTTAAATCTACTCAAGTAACAATTCACCCTGGTGGGGTGAATTTTGAGAGGAAAGACATTGTATCAGTAAGAAATAGGTTTCATTTTTCTTAGCACCAAAATAACACATTGAAACGATTTTGATTAGGTTCTGGAAGCAAAATTAAAATAAATTGATTTTTTTTTTAATTGAAAGCACCTAAGAGGAGAACTTAAAACTCCAGTTTTGAAGCTAGAGCAAATTTCCACAGGAGATGTATAAACCTCTGAAAAGCACACTTTACACCAAAAATGCTGAAAAAGGCTTTGCTAATGGCCTACAGAAGGCACTGTCCTGGAAACCACAAAAGCAGTGTTACTGAGAATTTCCTCAACATCTGAAATGTCACTGCATCGGTTCCTCTGGCAACAGCCAACATCTCTGCACACGGTGAACATGTTTTCATTCTGTTTTTGCAGGCTACCTTGATGCTATTTGGGGTTCCCCCTCCCTTTTCCTGAAATTTCGCTGGTCTTTAAACTGGGATACATCTGGAATACCAAAGTACTCTTTTAGGTCTCAGTAAGGGTGCTGACTGAGGATTAAGCACTGCAAGGGGAGGAAAAGGAGAACAAATAAAAAAAAATGCTCAGTTAAGTAAAAGCAAATCCTTAAAACAAGCTAAAGCCAACAGGAAACTAGTTACATTTACAAAAAATATCTGCAAAGTTTTTGAGATCATTACAGCAGCTTTCATGATGTTTACCATTCATATCCTGTGTCCAGGATCTGTCAAAGCACCTCAGTGAGTTCAGTGGGTCTAATGGTTCTTTCCAAAGACTGTTTTCATGCCCTGAATCTTCACCATCCCTGTTTGTCACTGATAAACCAACTAAGTGCTATTTAAAGAGGGGAAAAAAAAAAAAAAAAGAAAAAACCACCAAAAACCAGAATAAAGAAGGGCAGATGCACAGCTGCAGCTATTACATCCCTTCACAAGGAAACACCAGACCACTTCCAACAGAGATATGGAAAATGTGAGCAAAGCTGGCATACTGCATAACTCACTATCATCTCAGAGATCGTAATCAAGCACTTCATGGCCTTGTATCTCTGGAAAGACCTGTGTAAACCAGAACACTGGAACATCCAGTCACGGCAGCATAAGTAAGAAAAAATGCACTGTGACCCCAGCCTAGGGGTTCCACTGTCATTTCAAAGACACACCTACATCCTAAAATGTCCTTTGACACTCCTGGCCTGTGTTTCATGCGTTAGATATATGGGAAGAAAAGGGTATTCACCTTTTCTTCAAAGTCCAAGACCAGTAGCAGTGAAATGTGTTGAAAATTGAGGGCTTGCAATGTATTTAAAATACTCCCCTAGAGTAAAAAAAAGGATACTGGTGAATTCTAGCAAAGAATCTGGGAGGTCATAAAACTTACAGCTGGGTTGCATGGAGTTAGAAGCAGGAGACCAGACTGCACAACACCTGCGACTGCCAATCCCTCTTCAAGTTTCTGTTGGAGTGGATGATCTCAGAACAAAGCACACAGTGCGCACACACAGAAATGAGAAAACTGAGAGTCAGCCATAATAACACTTATATTTGCAGAAATGCATTTCAGCAGCAGTATTTGCAAGGTCTGCCTCAAATACCAAATTAGAACATGCCTGCTCAAGATGAGAGCTAGACTGAATTGATTCCAAGGTACTGGATTTCCAGTTGCAAAGTAAACTGTTGTTTCTGTGCTGGAAAGCAATGTCTTCTGTAGCAATGTCTGCTATCTCTTATAAGGAAAAAATTATTTTTTTAATACATTAGCATAAAAACAATAATTAATGGCCAGAATAATTTAGATGTATTTCAATATAAGCTGATTTCAGAAACGAATGGATAAAAGACAGTGAAATGAGATTATAAGCATTATAAGGAATGTCTATATGGCTAAATTAGGAGCTGCACCTACAGGTTTTGGAAGCAAATCTTCCAAAACGCATGAGATGGTGAGTGACAGAAACATGGTACACACTATTACTTACTGCCACATCCAGCTCAAGCATCCTGAGAGGCACAAACATTAGTCAGTAATAGGTATCTGTATCCATTAGGTGATCTGCCTACTCTTCTACCTTTGTTTTTCATTGTTTTACGTGGCAAGGTTTTGGGAGCTGCACCGGGGGGAAACGGACTGCAGGGATGGCTTCTCTGAGAAGACACCAGAAGTTGCCCCATGTCAGGACAGAGCCAGTTACAACAAAACAGACCCACAACTGGCCAAGGCTGACCCACTTAGGGATGGTGACAGCTCCTCCGTGATAATTTAAAGGGCAAAAAACATGGCACAACAGCAGCAGGCAGGAGAGAAGAGTAAGAAAACATGAGAAAAACCATCCTGTACACACAAAGGTCAGTGAAGAAGGGTGAGGAGGTGCTCCAGGCAGCAATGCAAGGATCCTCCTGCAGCCTGCAGTGAAGAGAAAACACACTGTCCTGGATAAGCCCTGAAGGAATCTGTGAACCCAAAGAGAATCCAGACTGGAATAGGCTCCTGGACTGAACTGCAACCCCATGAAGAGGAGCCCACACAGAAACACATCTTCCATCAGGACCTGTGGCCCCAAAGGGGATCCACACTGGAGCAACTTGTTCCTGAAGGATTTTCCTGTGGAAAGGACCCATGCTGGAGCACTTCTTCAAGAATTTGAGCCCATGGGAAAGACCCCATGCTGGAGCAGGGAAGGAATATGAGGAGAAAGGAGCAAAAGAGATGAAGCACTATGAACTGATTTCAACCCTCACTCCTCATAACCCTGAGCCACTCAGAGGAAGAAGACAGAAGAACTGAAAGTGAATTTGAGTCTAGGAAGAAGGAAGAGGTGAAGGGAAGATGTCTTTAGTTCTTATTTCTCATTATCCTGCTCTGCTTAATCCACAGTAAATTAAACTAACTTCCCTACGTCAAGTCTTGTTTGCTATTGACTGCTTGGTACGAGACCTCTCTGTCCTGATCTCAATCCATGAGTTTTTAATCATATTTTTCTCTCCCATCTTGCTGAGAAGGGGAAGTGATAGAGTGATTTGCTGAGCACTTGGCAGCCAGCAAAAATCATCCTACCACATTAATGAAAAGCAGTCAAACACTAATAGTCAAAAGCCACCATGCACAAAATAAAACCAAATAAATGTTACCAAATAAATAGGACAGAGTAGCCCATCACAATTTCTTTTAACCAGAGCATATTCTTCAATATCCTTCCAACAATATTTACCAGTGAGTCTATTCTCTCAGCAATGAAATGTCAAGCCTTTCTTTCCTACATGAAGTCAGTCTTCTCATCACCTTAAACTAAAACAAGTGTTAAGACTACTTGGGTTCTTTTTTTAAGAAAACGTGGCCCTTAAAAGCACAAGTTCGTGTGCAGAGAAAAACTGAAGGAACATCTAGCAAATTCCTGAGCCTGAGTCAATTCACCTTTAAGCCTGCACTAAAAAGAAGTCCTTTTGACTTAAAAAAGCTGAGCATCTACTGATTTATTTTAGCAAACACATCCTGGAAATCAGCAAGAACCTTCCAGTTTAATTAGAGTAAATATTAATTGGATTAAAAAATACTTCAAATTATCAAGATGGAAATAAATTCTTACATTTTTATTAAAACGAGATATTAGATTATGTTATCCTCTGAACACTGTGTGCTGGTACCTGAGATACAAGGAGAGGCTTGAAATACAGCCAGCAGTCTGACAGCAATGGTCTTGTTCTCAGACAAACCAAGAGAGCATAGCAAATTTGGTGCTAAAGACTGATAACTTTCTATATGCACGTGGAAGATATTCTAGTCTGCTAACAATTAACAGTATTATCAGAAGCATGAAACTGTGACATTCTCTACAGGCAAAATCCAGTATTTACTGCACATTACTGTCTTCTGTTGAAGTTGCTGGGAGTTTTTTTTCTAAAGCTATTAGTATGGACCCTACAGCAGGTACTCAGTATCTCATAGGAGAGCATTTTATTTCTAAAAGGCATACTTGTTTACTACAGCAACAAAAACCTCAGCTCCACGTTCTTCTCAAAGAAACTGGCCCTTTAAGATCCTCAGGGTGATCCTGATGACTCCTTTGAACCAGATGTGAGCACAGCCATACTTAATGCCTATCTCCCCTCAGCTGTAGGTTAATACCTATCCCCCTTCACCCAACTTTTCCAAATTCAGGAGTCAGTTTAAGCCTCAGCGTTACTAAGCAAGGCTCTCCCTCGTGAAACAGCTCATCCTGTTTTTACTGCAAGAGATGAAAGTCAGATAACTGTTATTTTCTCAATTCCTGCTAATATAGATGTTGCCAGTATCTCCAAAGCCAGAATTCAAACACTCTTTTAAGAAAACAAACCCCACTTCTGCAAACACTTTTCTGCACTTGCCATATCAAAACTGCCTGCCCCAGATTAAGTCTCTCTAGGACACAGCAGCAGTATTAAGAATTACTATCATTCTTCATCTGTCTGATTGTGGAAACAATTTACCTACTCCTGTGGCTGAAGCAGAAATTTACAGGACTTCCCTGTGGTCTTTGGAAGGAAATACATGTTTGTAGAGAGGATGATGAGGTGACAGATGTGAACAAATGCATTTATGCACGTTCCAGGAGCATTTGCTTCTCTTTTCTGGGTGACTCAGACACACAAGAAGTCAACTCTTACCTGTTACTGCCCACAGGAACAGGCAGAGAACACCAGGTCCGAATGCCATGCTGCCACCAGGGAGGCAGTGACAACCTGCTATTCCAGTTGTGTCGAAACTCTATGTCTTAATGTTGGTTTCCTCTAATATTGTTTAGTTCCCTCCTGTGTCCATCAAGCACTGCAACAGATAGCACAGGAAAAAATAGGTCAGATGTGAGCATTAATCAGAATGTTACAGTAAAAGACAACAGACAGTTGATATGCAGGCTTTATCATTACTTCCTGACTTCTTGGTGGATGACATAGTAGATTAGGCAAGCTGAAGATACAGAACAGATTACCTACCTGGAAATCTCTTTCTCTTTTCAGAAGATGAAGAAACATCCCAGAAAGATTTGCATGCTTGGGCTCCTCTACCTCAAAACCCACATTAATTCTTTTAAAACAAAACCCACATTAATTGCACTTATCTATCCAGTCGCTGGTTTTCCTCTGACTTGAAACAGAAACTAGCAGGTACCCTTAAACGAAGAATCACCGACAGTATTGTTTGTGCTAAAATCCATGCAGTGTCAAGGTAGCTCTTGAGGCAGCTCTCAAGCTATTCTTCCCCAACTATCAAGGTAAACGAAAACAGACACTTCTCCAGAATTTCTAGGGAGGCATTCCTTGCCATGACACTAAATTCTACAAACAAGGCAGCCTAAGCAACAAATAGACGTAAGGAATGAATAGTTCAAAGCAACATTAGTCATGCAAGAAAAAAAGCTAGTTTAGCCAAACTCACCGCTCCCCCCCACCCTGAGGATCCTAAATGGATGCTTGACCAAAAAAATATTTCTGTAAATGAAAACATAGGTAGTGATTTTTTCAGTGAACAGCCCTTCTCAAGGCAGCGTGTCACAGTCACCTTCCTTTGATGTTCATTACGTGACTTTCATATTTCAACTGCCTGTATCTACATGTGATGGAAATGCTGCTAACTGGATGCTCTTGCAAGGTTCCTTACCACACCTAATTTTATATGATGAAAGACCATCTCGTTCTTTTTCCCTTGCAAAAGAAATAAGTTTTCCCGTGCTAAGGCTGACTGAACTAGACTGGAAAGCCTAGCAAGTCAGCATTTGGACTTCTGCTCTTTGAGAAGGGATCTTCTCTAGATGGCTCTGTACATCTCTGTGGTTTAGTTCGAATGTTCTGAAATAAAACACTAAATAAAAACAATACCTCATATATGAAGGGTAGAAAAATTATTATTACTGTAAGATCATAATTTTGTGCACAGATTTTTTCCTGTTTCTATGGAAATCCGTCTAGACTTGGAAAAGTTGCTAGCCACCAAAACCTGTGATTTGCAGAAGAGCTTATTACTGCAGCTCAAGGTTTCTGAGATATTGTGCATTCGCTGTAACCTTCACTCATTCCCAGAAGCAGCCAAATGGATCAAATGCCTAAGAGAGACTTTTAGTCCTTTAGCCTAAGGAAAAATGCATCAGGCTCGGTATCAGAACATCATGAGGTCAGAATTAGCCCCCATAAGAGGAAGGAAAATAATTTGTTTATTTTATAGGCCTTTTTCCTCTGCAAGGGCAACGTAACTGTCTCACCAAGAGGAGACAAATAGCAGATTCTAGTTCCTACTGAACAGCTGACTGAGAAGTCCACATGATTACTTCTAGCAGCACTAAGAAAAACACTGAGAGGCTGTGCAAGTGATCCAGATTTTTTCAGCATTACTTGTACAGAGTTCAGAAACACAAGTTCTTGTAGCAAATGGTGGTGGGTTTGATTTCCTTTATTATTATTATTATTATTTTATTTTATTTATATTAAGAAAATACAACTTGCCAAAGCTACAAAATACCAGATTTTGGACTGCTTGTAGAATCTCCACTGAATCCTTACAGGACACAACATATGAGGATACAGTGAATGCACAAAAGCAACACTGTGTCCTCCCATGCTTCTTTGTGGCTCCACATCTATTGATGTTTAATTTCCACATAATAAAAGAGCTCCCATTCACTGCAACACTAGCTTGTGTTTCCTGATACTAGGATCAAGCTCAGACACAAAGCACACAAAGTCAAGAATTCAGTGCACAGCTTCTGACCCACAGATAAGAACAAAGCTACCAGACACTGCATGCCTTCTTAAACTGTTAAAACAATAAACACTGCTGCAGTGTGTGCATCTGATGCTGCCCTTGTCATCCTCATGATACTGTTCTGTTTCCCACAACTGCAAGTTTCATCACACAGACAAAAAAGAGATTAAATTTTAAAGAAGGTAGCAAACCATGAGATTCCAGCAGTTAAAAATAACTAAGGCCACAAGATTAATTTGCTAGCTGAATCTCTACCCTTCACGGATGTCACAAAGCCTGTTATTTTTATAACAACAAAAGCAGCCAGCATTGCTGGTAATTACTTTGGCATTTCTTAGCTCTTAGGAGTTCAAGTCTGACTTGAACTCTTAGCTAGAAGAGGGATGGCAGCCTTTAGGAGCAGGTATGGTAAAAATAGATATGTATTATCCATATGTTGCCTTACTCTGAAAGCTACGTTTTTCTGGTCCAGCTGGCAGATTATGGTAGTGCTCTAGCCAACAGAGTCAGAGGGAATTCTGAACTGATCCCTCTGTACAAACATTTGGACTTCACCATCTTTTAAACATACGCAGTTCCTGATCAGGACCACAACATCTTCTTGTAGATAATGCACAAAGAACAACAGCTTTCCAAGGAAAAGGAACTGCCTGTATTTTCCCTCTCTCTTCTCTACCCTAAATCTCAATCTACATTTTGCTTCGTTTTAGCTTCAATGCAGAATGAAGTAACTTTCTCCCTTAGAGACAGAAAGGGGTCAGCCAAGCAGAACTATATTGCTGCTTCCTACATCTAATTAGGCCAGGGCTATAACCATAGGAATGTGTATAGACTGAATTGACTGTGTCTGGGAATATATTAAAATCCTACAGCTCTGAAACAGCAAACAGAGCACAAGGCAGTATGCTGGTGCCCTCCAAAAGGTGTAGCAGAATGCTTGCACTCTAATAAAATCACAGACAAGAACAAATGGTGCCATGAAGGCAGCCAGAGAGCGATGCCAGGTAGCAGAAACCTCCAGGAGAGCGAGTGTCCTGAATGCTGGGTCCAGCCACACTGTCACGGGGGGTAAACGCAGGCAGGGGCTTCTTGCCTTCTTGTCCTTCTGGTCGTTAGCACAGCCAGGCAACATGCCAAAATAAATACTGAAACAGCATCTGAAGCTCAACCCACAGGTAAAGCAAGCCCCCTATTTTTGAACTGACAGTATCTCTTCTGTAAAGCAGCCTGGCTGAGTAAATGAACACATAACCACACTTAGTGAAAGCATCTATATACAAATATATATGTATACACACATGCATATATGTCAACATTTCTATTAAACATAATACAAGACAATCCTTTCAGAAATCCACCTCTCATGAAGAATTTAAAATAGTTATCAGTTACTGTACCTGCACACTAATACCTGAGAAAATTACTTAAGAGTTGAGCATTAACATTGTATAAATACTTCAGAAGAAAGAAAAATAAAACTTCATGCCAGTAGCATTTTCCCCTAATAACACAGAGAATAGTTCAGGACACTTGCAGACACTAGGAGGTCTAACAATAACACAGACTGTATGAACACACATCATCAAAATAGCCACAGGTGAGGCATCTAAATAAAGGGGATAATTTTCAAGCCCTTCAGCAGATGTGGAAGATATTGCAGATTCATCAAGGCTCGTGACCTGTGCAAAGTCACCTTCCTCTCAAACAATTTTCTAACAATAGGTACCTATACTTGAAAAAAACACCATGACTACTGATGGAAAATGATTGCAGCTGCAGGATACAGTAATAATCACAAATGTCTCTCTGTGTTATTCAAAGGGGCTCCCACAGGTCTTGGTGAAGGCTTACATTAGACTGGCATTACATTCCAACTCTACATCAATTTCCTTGGTCAAGTCCAGGGCACAAACAACAAGGTAACCATGACAAAAAGCCAAACTGAATAGCTGAAAACACCTTGCCTGTTAAGCTGGATAGGCTACCTGCTCCACTAGCTCCACTGGTATCCACAGCTCTGTCAACTGCTAAGTGAAGCCAACTGGACAAATAAAGACAGGGCTGCAGTGCTTCATGGAAAGAGTAACTTTATTCTACAAGATTTAAGTAGCCTTTATTGCAATTGCTGTGGAAAGAGCAAACAATAGTGGAAATCCTAAAGGTGAGAGAGTTAGGAGGGGTATATGGCGTCAAGAGCTATTTACAAGGAAAGACAGAGTATTTTAAACCCACCAATGAATGGTGGAACTACTCTGCTGAGAAATAAAAACACTATTATCAGAGTCAGGATTTACATGGTATTATGGCATACAATATTAAGTGTAAAAGGTCAGAATATTTCAGGATTGTTATTACTTAATTTGCAACACAAACATTTGTATAGCCCTGAGGTCAGCCAGCCCAGCAAGAAGGGGGAACTAACCAAAAGCTAATTCTCAGGAAAAGTCAGTAACACAGAGTGAGATTGTTAGACACCAGAGAGCCCCACACTCCCCACTGATCAAAATATCTCCCTTCAGAAGGCAGTCAAACTATTGAGCAATTCCTCTAAACCATCATACTTTCATCTCCCTATGTTTTCTATTTTCACAAGGACATAGCAGAGAGTACTGATAAGTGAGGCAATAACAAATATGTACTCCACAATGAAAATTAAGTGAGACCTGTAAACGAAGAGATTGAAGGAACAAGATGGTATCTTGACCCTTCCACAGCACAGAGGCAAGACAAAGCATCCTTACATCATCCTTTGGATTTTTATTTAGCCTGTCCTAAGCCTCCCATGAAGGGTATTTCAGAATTTCTCTATCCAGCTTCTTCCAGCATATAAGTAGGTTTTTTTCAACAAGAATACAGATTATAGAAGAAAATGCATAAAAGTGTTTGAAATTCTTCTCAGCTTGCAGAACTCAAAGTTGCTACTGCCCAACAGCTGACTGAGGGCCTGTGACAAAATCTTGTGGTCTCAATCGACTGCCTAGTTCAAGTGCTATTACGACAGAATGCAATTACACACAGCAAGCTGCACCTCACAATGGGCTCCCACCAGATACTGAGGCATCCTTATGCAGCAGAGGTACCATTTGCAGGTGTGGGTTGATGCTTCTGGAGAAACCTGAGCAAACCATAAGGAGATCTAGAAGAAAGGTATTCACATAGACAGTTTAATCTGGATCATGTAAGCACACAGGATAGAAGAATGTATTTATTTTGCACTTGTTCGAGGTCAAAAAATGACTATCCTAAGACTACACAAAAACCCCACTTGTCCATAATGCTGGGCTGAAACTAACGGCATCTTTTTCCCACTTATATTCTAAGTCCTCAAATTAAAAGGAAGTATTAATTGATTCAAACCATCATTTTGAACTGCAGTTCTTAGGATTTCGACAATTTTTTCCTTAAGTGCCATTCCCTGAACTACAGTAATTATTGAAAAAGTATCAATTTTCAGTAGAAAAAAAATAAATCTCTCTCTACTGCAGGGAAAGCCACACCATTCAAAACCACAAGACTCATAGTTTTTCATAGATTGATCAAGGCTTCAAATACTGACAAATTCTTGACCTCATTTAAGTCACTGTTAGGATTTAGAATACCTCATTTAGGATAAATTGAACTGTTGCAATTGTTAATACTGCTATTTAATATCTAAATGCTTAAAAAAAAAAAAAAATTAAAATCGACTCTTCTTGAGTGATCTCTACCTAAGCATCAAAGCTAATATTCGCAGACTGAAGACCCAAGTTTGCAAACATACTATGTAGGAATCCTGGACAGTGGTCTCAGAAGTGCCAAAAACAGAAACGATCACAGTTCAAAGGAAACTGCAGGCACTTGCTACCAAAACATAGGGGCCAGCTGTCACATAAAACATGAGGCTGTCTTGAAAACAAACAAGTTTATAACTTCAGCCAAAGAAATACCAGCTACCGAAAGCGTTGCAAAAGCTTTTGTGTTATTGTGCAGTGCAATTTGAATTGCTGCACTTAATTAACTACTAGATTTGACTTTGACATTATAGCAGTAATAGTACTCATGGTGCAAACATTGTGGAGGAAGACAATTCAAAACTGCTACATTAAAATTCAGGTTTTACTGTAGATGTTCTCTGAACTCACTCCCCTTACATGAAATGCAAAGATCACTCATGCAGAAGAAGCAACAGTCTGACACTTGAACTCAAATGGATGTTGTAGGATCTTAGATAATATCTGTGTATTAGACTATGGTGTTATAAAACTGGTCTTAGAAGTACATCTAATTTATGATAGCTTTCAAGGGCTGCCCACAGATTGACTGGCAGAGGCTGGATCAAGCAATGTAAGTACTACTGTCAACAAAGCTAATTGGTCATTTCTGAGATTAGAGTATTGAATAACCAGTGACTGCCTGAGATACAATCACACACACTGCAGGAAAAAAAGCTTGCATAAGTGGCGTGGGCACAACAGCAGAGAGCCAGAAAAGCCCAAATCTTCCAAGTGAAGTATGTAAACACTCTCTTCCTTTGTGTCTTGCTATTTTATCACCTTTGGGAAAATATTTTTAATGCAGTTGGATGCTGTACATCCATTTCTAGATCTAAATCTTGTGTGTTGATGTAAGAGCAGAGAAATGAGTACATTCCCTTAGCTAAGAAAGTGGGGGATGGAGGGGTAAGTCCTTTCACCCACCTGACCATATCAACTTTTATGTTCATTGTTAGTCTGCTCTCCCATAGAGAAAAATCTTACTTGACAGATTTTCCTTTTTTTTTCATCACTTACCTACCCTTTAAGCCATTTATTGACTGATTTCAACCAGAGAAGAACAGATTACCAGCAGGTAACTGAGTTCTCATGACTTCTGTAGAATAAACCAAGCCAGAGAAGACAAAACTGCATTCTGAATGTCTACAGGCCCACCCTCAAAAAACATGCCATTCAGTCTCCATGACTGAAAATAGTAGCCCATGTGTCATGTCATCAAGAGGGGACTATGTGGCAAAAATGGAGAGGGACATAGAAAGGCAATGAAAAAATCCTCATTTGACCTCAACATATAAATTCATAGAAATCTTCCTTATCTGCTGTTCAGAAAACTACTTGCTTGTTAAAAACAGCTAAAATACAAGTGTGCACACACACTCCCCTAAGATGTAAATATCTGGAGCCCACTCTCAGATAAGTGAGCACTTTTTATTTCTCTAAACCCCATCTATATTTAACCAGGGGAACTCCTTGCAACATGCAGAACAGTTAACAAACTGTACAGAGGACAGATTTATCAAAGAAAATGCACTAGGATAGGAAACAACCTCTAAACTTCTCCTTCACCAAGGCTAACTAGCTGAAAACTCCCATTAGATTAACCACATTCGTATTATCTCCAACCAGACTGACTCAATTCCAATCTGCTCAGTGCAAAGTCACATCATCCTGAAAAATACTCAAAGGTCAAACTGTGGCACCATTTGGGGAGAGATTAGGTGCTTAAATGGAAAAGCAACTATATCTGCTGTTAAATTAGATTATAAATTTGTACAGAAAGACACTTTGTGAAAGAAATTGAAAGCTAACTGCCTAACAGTAGGAAGGATTTCTCCCCATGGGTGCAATATCCATTACAATGGTTCTGTGCTTTCTCTACAGTGTTGAAATTGGACACTGCTGGATATACAGCACTTGATCACATCTCCACCTTTAATCACCAGTTTCCCTTGAAGGATATACATTTAGTGCCACTATCAAAACTAGCAAGAATAAACCTTTCCTATACATTTTTTTAAAGGAAAGCTTTGTAAGTAAAGTCTGTACTGATATGTCTAGAAACCCATAGCAAACCTTCTTCAACGTCACAGAAGGAAGAGCTGGAAAGAGTCTGAAGGGCTCCATCTGAAACAGATCCTGTGTCTGTGCACATGGGGACCAGAAGGAATCAACTGTTTTTAAAGCATTCCTGATGGAGATTTCACAAACAGGTTTAGAAACCTGTCTATGGTAATTTCTCTCTCTCCACACTGTTGAAATTGGCAGCCCACTCAGAGAGCCTCCAAACCAACATGGTAAGAGATCTGCTGTACACAAAGCTGAACTAAACTATGGCATCTCCAGGTCACCAAAACCTCTTCACTTTATGCAGCTCATTGGAATTGATAGAACTGCAACTGATATGCAACTAATGAAGATGAAACAGATTTGCCTGTGTTTTCTGTGGAACATGAAGTTTTCAGAAGTGTTCCAGAAGTGCTCCTCCAGCCCTCCATCACAGTACTTCCCAAAGGAAATGGTAGGTAAAAGACTAAACTGAGCAAGAAACCACAGACCATGACCATAACTCTAATCATCTTAAATAAGGTAAAACTCAGGTTATAATGCATTCTCCACTGTCTTGTCCTTAAGGGAAAAGCATCAGCCCACAAAGCTCATACACATACACTCTCATCTTACTTGCACCACTCAGACACACAGTTTGATGTACAACATTCTGAGCAGCTCACTTCCCATCATCTAAGCCACCAAAGTGAGTATAGATAGTATCACCTATTAACTCTGTATTATACCAGGTTTTTAAAGATTCAAGTTTGACTCAGTACAATGCCTAATTGTGAAACATGACCCAAAACAGTCAATCTTGCCACACAAAGAATGAATAATTAAACAAAACAAACATCTATTAGAGTTGTGTGGTTGAGAACCAGTCTCCCACTGCAAGATATTGCAAAGGTAAAGGCAAAGGCAGAACCTACCCCAAAGTGTTTACTATATCAGCTCCACTATCTTGTCATGCAGTCAGTGGGAGGAACACGAGTGTTCCTACAGTATAAACAGATAGGGAGGAACAGAGGACAAAAGAGTTTGGGCTTCATATTGTTCCCTCAACTATCTGACTACTCGTAGGCTTTCTGCAATAGGCTCCTGAAGCAGTTTAGGAGAAAGATGGAACTGTCTTCTGGTTTTGTGTAGCAACACCGATGCAGGTAACACCCAACACTGCAGCAATATAAAAATCACACTTAGTACTTCTGTTTAAGCTCTGCTCTACTGCTCAGAATGCAACCTGACAAAGCATTTCACATACTACACATAAGCATGCTCAGCAGACACGCCTGGGCTGTAACAAACACACACTTTGACAGAAGACTGGAGAGCAGCTTGGCAAGAGTAATATTCTCACATTCCTTGAAGATATGTATAGAGAGATATTTAGACGTATATACATGGAGAGCAACATAAAGCAACGATTTCTGAGCTCAGATAAAACATAGCTAAATGCACATGCGTTAGGAAACATCCTACCGAAACTGATCCTTCATACTAAAACACGTATTTTTCTATAGGTACATAAATAAATCTATCTGCAAACTAAACACCAACACACACACATTCCCCCAATGCAGCCCACTGCTGTATCTCCCCACGCTCTCCCGGCCTAACAGGTCGCACAGGACACACACTTTGCCACACGCAGACGGCGGTGCGAGAGAGACAGGGAGGGAGAAGTCCCTGGAAGACCGGATGGCTCATCGCTACCGCTGTCCCGTAGCATTCCAGCCCGGCGCTCACAGCCGGGCAAGGCTCTCCCTCCCCGCTAGCCCGGGCTGCGCCTCGCCGGGAGCGGCTGCCCGAACGCCCAGCTCCGGGAGCACCGGCTCCGTTTTCCGCCCCTTCCCCACCTCCGCCCAGGCCGCGGCGGCGATCCTACCTGGCGGCGAAGGAGGGCAGGAGCCGGCACGGCCCCGCCGCCCCCTTCCTCCCGCGGGCGCTCAGCACCGGCAGCTGGGAGCGGGGCCGGGGCGCTCGGCGGGGCCGGGGAGGGCGGCGGAGTGCCGCCCGCCTCCTCCCGCTGCTGACTCAGGAGCAGGCGCCGTCCCTCCACACCGCTCCCCGGGGGACGGCCGCCGCGTTCCGCGCAGGATCGCTGCCCCGCTGACACCCCCCGAACACGCACCGCCCGCCCGCCGCCGCCCCGGCTCCGAGCCGCACCTGTGGGCAGCGGCAGCAGCCCCCGGGCATGGCAGAGGAGGGGTGGGAGGTGGCTCTCCTGCCACCGAAGGGTTGGTCCGGCTCCATCCCAAGAGAGACTGGGGGGAGGGAGGTGTTTCCTTGCCGGCAGCAAGGCGAGGAGGTGCCGCGCCTCCATCTTAAGGAGGGGGCGCGGGGGAGAGCGAGAGGCGCAGCCCCCTGGGCGGCCGCGGCTCGGGGGTCCCGCTCCCACCCGGGACCCGGCTGCGGTGGGACCGTGTTACCGGGCACAGTGCCACACCGGGAGGTTTCACTCTCCAGAGACGCGGCCTCGGTGCTGCTGCTGGAGATGAGCAAGCAAGAGGTCTCCCAGGTCTGAACACCTGAAGCACAGGGTCTGAAGGTGTTGAGCCAACCAGGTGCGGTGGGAAGGCAGCCGAGCCCTTTGCATCACTCCGCTTTGCGTACCGTGGTGTCGCGGTTGGTCTGCCAAGTGGCATCGAAGGTGGGATCCCACCTGTGGGATCCCACAGCTTCTGTACTGTCGTGCTCCGTGCAGGTCTCCATACCTTTGCCATCTGCACAGCTTTTGGCTGCTCTGTCTCCACGTGCAATGTTTTGGCGACGCTGTCTCTCCCAGTAGGGATTTTCCACAGTGACTGGCTGCACGGGGACTGCAGCAGGAGGCCAGAACTTGTCTGGTATGAGTTGTGCTGGGGCAAGCCCCTAGTCCACACATCCTCATTCTACTGTCCTTCTGATCCTTACCTTTACAATTTTCTGAAAAACATTGGGCGTGGGACCCAGTGCTGCTCGTCTGGCAAAGTCCCACATCCTAATGGCAAATATCTCACTGGGTGAAGTCACTATAAGAGTACCCATAGCTTATTCAGCAGAGCTTCTTAATAAAATAGTCAGCATTTCTGTGTCTTTCATTTTGCTCTCTCCTAGTTCTTGTCTCACCCACATTTTCCGCTGAGAGCCATGTTGCAATCAGAACATGCAGAAATGGTTTGTTGATTGTTTCTTTGATTTTTACAGCTCCTCTCCAAAATAATAGACCAATTTACATTTGCAAAGAGGCATTTTTCTACAAAACACCGAAGTCCATATGCCATTGAGAAATTTTGCCCATCTCAGCAAAGTTTTAGGACAAGCAATTTCATTTGTAAGTGAACTAAGATGCGAAGAGCAATGAATTTCAAACTTAACATGCAAAGGTTTCATGCTGATTTGCACCAGCCTGTCATGGTCCCAAATCCTCTGTTCAACCTGTTAGCAATGCTACTGTATTGCCAAGTCCTGTTTAGTCTTTAAGGAATTGTCAATGCTTTACTCAGGGTAAATAGTATTTTGCAGGTACTACGGGATGATGAAAAAAGTTGTTCTAAAGATGTAAAAATGTTATCTCTTGGGCATACAACAGCTTTTACCTCCTCATCTGATTCCCACTTTCCCATCTGTTTTTAACAATGGTCTGTATGATGTTTCTTGAACCTGCTTAAATCTTCTTCAGTGTGGGGAGCTCATAACTCATGTTTTTGCTCTATAAAGCAAGGAATTAAAACTCTGAACTGTAATAGTGGATTGCTTTTAAATATACCTGGAGAAGCATAAATGTCTGTTGGCATTGTTTGAATTTTTTTTTTTTTTTTTTTTTTTTTTTTTTTTTTTTTTTTTTTTTTTTTTTTTTTTTTTTTTTTTTTTTTTTTTTTTTTTTTTTTTTTTTTTTTTTTTTTTTTTTTTTTTTTTTTTTTTTTTTTTTTTTTTTTTTTTTTTTTTTTTTTTTGCTATATTGTTATGCCAATTTTGATTCCTTCAGTTTCTGTGATTTCCATGTGTTGGCTGTTTTGGCCAGCTTATGGACACTGAAGTCTGCTTATTTCAAGTGAAAAAGGATTGGGAGAATTCCTAAAAATTTTTCCAATAATAACACAAAAGTATCAATGAGAAGACTGCTATATTTTTGCCATTGTTGACCAATGCTACTTGACTTGGAAGAGGACGTGTGTGGAGAGAGGAAGCCTGCCTGTCTTTCTTTTGCAGCAGTCCCATTTCTCATGTCTTGCAGCCTTCCTGTGAGCACTGGGGATTGATTTACTCGCCTAGTGGGGGAAGAGGATTGTCCTCCAGTGCTTCACGTGGTTGTATGATCCCAATTTTACGGACTGTTGAAGCACCAGATATAGTGGCACGATTTTTTTTTTTGATTATTTCCTCTGCAGGAAGTATTTTTCACTTGTACACTCAGTGTTAGTGCTTTTTGAAAGATCTGTGCAGGTATGCAAAAGACTTCTTAGCACATCATAGAGACGAGTCCTGTGCATGTCCCCCTACCATCACCTTAATGAAAACAGGGCAAAAGGGATGAAAGCAGCAACTGTCCCTCTTTTTGCTTTCTCTGCACAGGAGTGGCTGATCCAGTGCCCTTGACTTTCCAGGTTGTCTTCTCTGTTGAATGCACAAGATGCAGCTAGTCCTACACAAATGCAAAGGCATCAGAGCAAACAGCTCCCATTTGATAAACCCAGCAGCAGCACCTGGTGCCTGTTCACAGTCTGCAAACTCCAGAAATGCTGTGAAATGGTGAATCAGACCGTGAAGGCAGGTTCACTGCAGATGGCTGAGGGTAAGATGGTATTTTCTTTGCTGAACCAGTTCTTGCCTTTCATATCATCGATAAATTAATAGGCTTAAGCCTCACAAAGTAATAGGCTCAACGTGCTGTAATGGTATCTGAAAATCGTTAAAAGTTCAAAATGTAGCCTTTTAGGTAAATGTTGATCTGGTTACCTCCAGCTGCCTTCCCACACTAAGTGCATTCATTTGATCAGACAAAAGCCTTGTGAAGCTGTCATCACCCTGGACAACTAATTCACTGCCAGATATTCAGGGTCATTTTGGAGACTGCCTCTGACATTTATCCCCCACCACTGCCAAGTGGACCTTATGAGCAGTTTCTTGCTGCGACAGGGAAACCCTGGTCTGAGGCACAACATAATGTTACTGTGGCATACAGGGAGATTTATCCCATAGCAGGTGGCTGGCACAGCCCTCCCAGTCCCCCTGCACTCTGCTCTCCTTCCCACTCTTGGCTAGTTTGCTAAACCAGCTGCTCTGAAGTTTTCCATGTAACATCCAATTTAAAAGAAAGAGATCTGGAACATTACTTAACCCTTATTAGGTTGTATTGTGCTTTTCTAAAAATACCCTTTTCCCACCTGCCATCTTAAACAGGTAAAACAACTTGATCTATTTCTACTCAACGGAGTGTCTGCCAGCACTGAAAAAGATAGTTCTATTCACCTTCAAGCCATCTGAGACTGATTTTTTTTTTGATTCCTCATTAATTTTAAGAATTGTTGAAAACCAGAATGAGATGAGTTCCCCTTTCTTGGCCACAACTGTCCAGCATGTCAGTCATATGCTTTTTCTACTGCCAGCCCAGGTAAAGCTTCTGCCTTGACAAATGATGTCTAAGTAGGTTTTTATTAACTTCTCTGTCCCACCAGTGGCAGTATCAGGAAATCTAGTAAGAGTGCAAAAGGTTAGAGTGACATGGTGTAATCCTTTCCTCCTTTCCGTTGTTGATGTATGTTATCTTTGTATGTACTTTTACCCTTTTTCTTAATCTAAACTGTAGTTCTACAACATTTCTGTATGTTAGTAGGTCCATTTCTTGTCATGTATGCCTGTATCCATAAATAATGATACAGTAGTGATTTTACCATGAGTTGTTGCAGATACAATATTATTTTAATTTCAGTTGTAATGTAGCAACGTCCCTGCCCACTGCGTCTTTCATTTAAACCTGTTTTCTCAGCCTTATTGAAATGAGAGCATTATACTGGCAGCTTCTCTGTCTCAGATGTGTTTAAAACTTTGTCTGGATCCTCAGAAGAAGTTGCTTTTTCTTTATATCTTCATCAAACTATTAATAAAATAATGCTTCTGATAGTACAGGATTTTTTCAAGGTCCATTGTTGTCATCGATTATCAATGGGAGAGGATTGCCACATTTTCTTATATTCCTGTGTTTGTGTAAGTCCTTTGGGATGTATCATTTCCATAATATATCACTGATTCAGGAAAGGAATTCAAATTCCATGTTGTAGCCTAATAAATATTTTGTCCGGCTTTGCTTTTCTGGTTTTATTCTTTCATATATTTATGGTGGGTTTTTACCAGTTTTAGCTGCCATATTCAGCAGCTATTTTGTCTTTTACACCAGTGTAAGAGGCAAATTGATATAAGGTCTCTGACACTTGACTGTCAGCAATTTGAGTACTTATTAAGTGGTTTAAAATGTATTTAATTAAAGATGACGTGC